GATTTTTTTTTTTTTTTGTAAGGTAGGCATTGAAAGTTCACATTGTTTAAAACGTGTCAAACAATTGTGGCCGCACTTTCTTGACCGTTGAAAATTAAAAGAATATACCAAATATCGAAGATTATTCGTTTCAGAATTGATTTGCTATATTGTATTTTTTCTCAATTCGTCCAAATTACTCTTCTGTTTCCTTCCGAGGAGACGTAGCTTTGATTGTCATTTCGTTGACAATATATTAGCTCTCTAGATAACGTAGCGGAGACTGTTTTAAATATTATAGAAGTTTGAGCTGTTAATCAAATTATAAAGATAAGAATAAGAAAAATGAGATAATAAGGAAAAGTATGTGGGGTTATATATGTATTTTTATGTGCTACTGACTTTGTAATTTGAATGAAATTATTAGGAAATGAAATAACAAGAATGTCAAGAAAAAATGAAGTACATTTGGTTTTGTTTCCTATTGACCCTCCCCATAATGACAAAATATGAACACGTAAAATCTAAGTTGATCTCTTTCTCACAAAAAGAAAGAAAAAAAGAAAAAAAGAACATTAACAATGAGGGACAGGGAAAGTGCTGATCTTATTGCTTGTTGGGATTGCTGTTGTTGGTGTTGGAGGTGTTGCTGTTACTAGGATGAGCGCCACCAATTATGGAGGAGATGGCGGCTGCGAGGGCGGCGGTGAAGTTGGGGTCGGCCGTGATGGCTGCTGTGGCGGCACTAACAGTGTCAGCCAGGGTGGGAGGCTGTGGTTGGTGGAGTTGGGCTGGAGGAGCTTGGTGGGTTAATTGGGAAGATCCTATGTCTTGCGATAATTGCAAACCGGAGAATTTTGACTGGTTGTAGAGTGCTTGACCAAAAATCTGAGGCAATTGTGGGGCTGAGACGGAGCCAAGGTTCTGGGGCTGGGCTGGAAAAGGGAGCTGGAATGGGGTTGGAGGTCTTTGGAATTGCAGAGGGTTAGGTGAATGAGTGAGGTCTAATGTGACAGTTGGGAATGGAGCAGAAGCTGAGATGGTTGCCATGCTTGTGGAGCAAGGAAGGATAGCTCTTGCTAGCAAATTAGGGTTCATTAGCCCATCTGCGCTGGACATTGAACCCGAAAGCAACATGCTAGCAGCTGCTGCTGTTGTTGATGCCATTGCCATTGCAGCAGGGGGAAGTGGATGATTGTGATTGCCTTCATAAGTAGTTATTAAGATTGTTCTATCCTCCGCACAACGTTGAACCTATAAAATTTTAATAACATTAGTTCTTTGTGTCAAAATTTTGATTAATTAACATCAATAGACAAATACATCCGTGGAACATACTTGTTTGCGAACAGGACAACCAACTGCCATGGTACAACGATAATAAGCTCGTGGACATGGGTTTCCCTTAGCCATCTTTTGTCCATATTTTCTCCATTGACACCCATCAGAAATCTGTAGATCAATTAAACCAATCAATTAATACCCGAAATAAACAATTATTTTTTTCAAATTCTTTTCTGAGGTTTTTAGTCAAATTCTTTTACCATGGGAGCTTCTGATCGAGCTCGAACTGAGACACGAGCTTTCCTCATGGTGGCCTCGGTGGACTGATCAACAGTACCCTTAGCAGCAGGATTCGGTTTCTGAACTTTGTTATTACCCCAACCTTCAGGTTCAGGGCTTTCCCCTCTTCTCTTACCATTCCGGAGACTAGAGGTGTCTTGATCAAATGGAGTAATCTCGTTCTTACCATTGCTCTTAACATAATCCTTGGATACCGCCTCTATATTGTTCGAAGGTGACCCGGAACGCGTCCTTTCTTCAGACGAAGAATGAGACAGATCGTCAGTCTCCGCCGTTCCTGATGGCCCTAGATCTATAAATTGCCTTGGTACCACCACCCCATGCTTCTTCTCTTCCGATTTCCCATCAAGAACCTGATCAGAAAAAATAAAGATAACCAGATCAGTAATCTGAATTTTACTTAATCAAATACTTTCATTAACATAAAAATAAGAGAAGAATGAAGTAATTACCTCATGTTCTTGGCGGCTCTCGGTTGCGTGATTCTGTTGCTGTTGCATTAAGGCCATGAAATGCATCTGTAGAGAGCTGTAATTGGTGCTTACTTGACTAACCATTTCTCTCAGCCTTTGATTTTCTGCATTCATCCGTTGCAATTCTACTTGTAATTGAGCTAGCTGAAACGAGAAAGAATACAATTCTCAAACTCCGAGATAAAAGCAAGATTGGGCTCTAAGTCTTTGTAACCAAGAAAAAAAAAAGATTCTTACCTCACTCTTAGATCGTTTGTCTTCCATTTCCGATGATACGCCATCATCAACCGTTGATTGATCACTTCCAGTGTTAGCAGTGAGAAGATGCAACCCAGTCTAAATTTAGGAAATATAAATAAATAAATTTCATAAAGATTCACCTATAACTAAAATCATGGCAGTGTAGAATTCAAGATAATATATATACTTACATTTACATGGTCAATATCGGCACTTGGACCGGCGTCGCTATGGGAATTCTCCTTCTTGACATTAACTCTAGAGGGGGTTTTGCTATCCTTATCATGGTCATGATCAACGGCGGCGACGACCCTATTCTTGTTATTAGAGAAGAAGTCAACCTCGGGTACACGGTTGCCGTCGGAAGGCGGAGAAGTAGTATCAGAGGGAGGGTCCTCGCGGGAGGCGCCGAGACCGACAGGGAACTGAAACATTTCTCGCTTGAGACCGAAGAAAGGGTGATTGACAGAAGGCGACGACGGCGACTTCAGCTTCTTGGTGAAGAAAGGAATGGCGGGATCAGAATCGAGGGTGAGACCCCACCCTTTGTCCATAAATAAGAAGGGAAGAACTGCGGCGAGGTTGAGAGAAGGGTTTTAGAGAGAGAAACGGAGAAGAAGGCGGTGTATTCGGTATAGGTGTTATGAAGTCTGTGAAGTCTTTTACCGCTGCACTGGGTTCGCCTATAAAAAGGGGTTGGACGAAGACTGGATAGGTAGAAAAGTAAGAATTTAGATTTTTTTTTATTCTTACGTCAGATGGTGCGTCAGCGTTCCAGCTGGCATCCGGCCCTACTTCTAAAATTAACAATGTGATCCGGGTCCGCCAATGGATCCTCCATGTATCACTCGGGTTCATACAGATTCACTGTGTAAATTAACCATTAAACGGTAACTGATATATACCTAATAATACATAAAGTTTGAATATAATATATTATTTAAAGAGAATTAAATTTTTTTCATTCAGATTGAAAAATAGTTAATGTAATAATTTTTACTTTACGATATAAATTATATTAAATTATAAAATAAAATAATTTAAAAATCTCACTATTAAATGAAAACCTTTTATATAATTATCTTTATTATACATTCATGTACATTATATAAGTAGTAGTTAATATTTATATTTATTTATTTAGAATTATTATTATTTATAGTTCAAACCTTAATGTGCATTTAATGAAAAATAAGATATTTTTTTAATAAAAAATAAATAGTAATATTTTAAATAATTTTATAATAATTTTAAAAATAAAAAATTTTAATTTAAAATCACATGATATTTAAATAAAATATATTTAAAAATAAAAATATTTTTATTATGTAATTTAATATAAAATAAATAAATAAAAGCACTTACCTTTTTTAACTTAATAGATATAAATCATATTATACATGCCGAGTTTTTAATTTTTTTTATCTTGATTATATAATAGGAAATCATTATCTCTTATTTTTTATCATATTTCACTTGTATGTGATATTATTTGAATTTATAATTTTTCATTTTTATCAAAAAAATAATTATTAAATTACTTAAATTCGTTGATAAATTTTAAATTTTTAATCTTTAAAGTTATAAGCGTTTAAAAAAAAAAAAAAGTTCGGAAAGAGAGTTTGGTGGAATTCGGGTTGAAGTTCGGGGGTGATGGGTTTGACAGCGTGGAGCGGGAGAGAGAGAGGGTGAGGTTTCGTCTACATTTCGTCAAAAAAGAGTTTGACTGGTTCATTAAATCGAAGTGGGGGGGAAAATAAATTGAATCCACATCCCCGAAGGGCGCGGCGGGTTCCACGTGATGAAAATGGCAAAAAAAGGGGGCAAGCCAAGTCAACGAATTTGACGGCCTGGCTCTCTGGTGACCTGAAACTGAGTCGGGCGGTGGACGGGTCTCGGCATGCCGTGGCCCCACGAACCCAATGCAGCAATCACACACTCACGTTTCAGATCCAACCCTCCGTTGACTGTTTACCGGTGGGACCGAGTCACTTGCTTACTCTTTCTCCTCTTTTCCTTTTTTTATTCTAAAAGAAAATAAATGTAGTAATAATTAATTCTGTTATTTTCTCCTCATAAAATTTATTATTTTGTAATTTTATTTATATTTTTTTATAAATTTTTTTATACAACAATTATTTAAAAATATAAATTTGTTAATAAAATTACAACAAAAAAAAAAAAAACTACTACTGTAACATAATAGAGCACCAGTAAACTAAGCTTTAAACCTATTTATTTTCGCTAAATATAACATTCTATGACATTTGATCTCAATTTAATAGATACTTAAAATCAGGTTTTTGATAGAAAGCTAAATGATATTTTTGTCTTTAATTCTTTTAAATAAATTATTTGAGACCATTGAAAACGAAAACTAATTATAAAAATTAAATTGGTTGGTGAGGGATTCACACTTTGTTACTTTATATTTAGTTGTGGAGAGTGTCCTCAAAAAAATACATAATTTTGATGCGAATTCTATCATACGTGGTCAAGCTACCTTGGGAGAACTTAGCAAAATAGATTTAGAGACATTCCATAATTTTCTTTGCTTTCCCAATTTCACAAATTTAAAATTGATTTTGTTTCCCTCACCAACCCAATTTCTACCCAAGCCAAAAATAAATAAATAAACTTAAATTTCATTTAAACAAAAAAAAAAATACTTTGCTAGATCTAATACCTAATATATTACGCCTAAATACAAATTCATTATCTTGTAGGGCAGGACTTCCTTATGTTTTGTTTATCAAGGAATCTTTGATTTTATGAGCCTTTCAAACTTTGAAAATACCGGACCATGAAAATGCATAGGTTGAATTAGACATGTGACTAAATATTTTTACATACAGAAATTCACCCATGATTTACCATGTCCCAATTTTTCAACGGTCCAAGGACAACTTTTGCTTTTCTTCCAACTTTGGTAATTTTATTTATTGGGTCTTTTGAAAAAAAAAATTTGCAAGAAAGAGACAACTGAGCACGCTTTGAAAATTTTAACAAGTAATTTGTTTAAAAAGTAATCTTTTAAAAAATTAAAAACTAACTTTTAAATAATTTATAAAGAAATTTTTAAAAAATTGCGAATGTATTAGGCACTTATTTAAAAGTTTGATTTGCCCATCAGCTCAAAATTGGCAATTAATTAATTGGATGGACCAAAAAAAAAAAATCTGTGCATGCACTTTCATTTCCAATTTAAATACAGTACGGCAATGCAATTTCTCACATGGTCGTCTTAAAATTTTTCCTCTTAATTTATAGTTCAGCCAAAACTCGTGGGATGGATGGTCTTGAAATTGGAAGCCACCAAACAAACAGTAGAAAAGTAAATAAAGAAAAAAAAATTTAAGAAAAAGTACTGTGGAAAAATTAAAGGATAGGGAAAGGGGAAAGGTTTCTGTCCAAACAAACGGCGCCCGAATTAGAAAACTCAAGGGATAGGGATTCTTTTTCCACTAGAAGATGTTTTTGAAGAGAAAGTTGTGTTCTGGTCGCCTGGACAAACTGGGGGGAATTGAAAACGTGGGAGACGTATAAAATGGGTTTAGTTGGTTCAAGGAATTAATTACCCGTCTTACTTTATCTTTATGGTTTACATATTGTCAAAAGCTGCGTCTACGCTCGTGGGAATTTTTCAACTTTTGGTTGCTCTCATTAATGCCAACAGATAATCAAAAGTTAATACATCTATATGAGGAATCCCAGCAACAGACTCGTACTAACTACCCCAACTCCACTACTCTCTCTATATTTTTTTAGGGGTAATCGGTCCCTGTAGTTTTTTTATTTTTTATTTTAAGATTGATATTTTTTAATTTTTATTTATAAATCTTGTAATTAAATTTTTTGAAATATTAAATTTGAACTTCAACAGCTAAACTCTAAACTTCAGCCATATAAATTTTAAATCTTCAAATTTAATATTTAATATTTTAAAATTTTAAACCCAACACTTTAGACCAATAAATTTTAAACTCAAGATATTAAATATTAAAATAATTTAAACCCTAAATCCGTTATTATTAAAAGAATGGATGGATCGACTTTATTATGTTTAACCATTAATAGGGAGGTAGGGTTCTAATTCTCTCTATTAATGATTAAGTGAAATGCAACCATAAATATTTTGAGTTGAATTCCTATACTTAGATGTTAAAAAGTAATTAAAGAAATTTTAAGGATTAAAATAAATATAAATTACTAATTGTGGGAATCTTTAATAAATTTCACCATGAAACTTTAAGAGGGAAATCAACGGAGGTGACGTTTCCACGTCCATTCGGCCTTTGAGGGGGCTTCGGCCGCGCCCGCGTTTTCCTTGATTTTAGTAAAGGGTTTTTGTCATCTTGCTCCCTTAAGGACACAATTAGTGCGAGTTTTTGTTTGAATCTTTTTAATAATAAAAAAAAATTAACATTTTTAATAAATTAACATATAAAAATATTATTAAAAATATTTTAAATAATTTAACTAACGGTCTTGATTTTAAATATCAAACTCCTAATAAAAATAATTAAATTTAATAAACTTCCTTTATAGTCTATTTGGGAACCTAAATTTGGATAGACTTTAGGGTGCATTTGAATTTAAAAGTCTAAATTTAAATACATTATTTATTTTTACTTAGATGTAATGTATTTGAATTTGGTCCAAATATATGTATTTGACATCATATATTTCAAAGTTAAAATTATATATATTTTAAATACATTTTTTAACCCATAAATTTCAATTTTGAATTATTGTATTTCATCAAAATAAGGTATGTCCTCAGCACAATCTCAGATCAAGCTTTACCGATTGCTGTTGGGTAATCTATTTAGGGATTTAAAAAATGTATATATATTTTCGGTGTGTTTTCATGTATTGATTTTTTATTTTTTTTTCCTTAAATTTTATTATTTATTATTTTATAATTTTTATTAAATTCAAAGAATTTTATTACAAATACTTAAAAGTAAGATTTTAAGCTTTCCTATATCAGTCTATTGTGTTCTTCTTTGTAAATAGATTAATATTTTCTTTTTACCAAAATATATTTAGTTTTTAATTTTGAGAGAATTTAAAAAATATTTGAATATTTAAAAATAAAAAATATATGTAATTCTCTTGTTAATGAAATAAAAATTCATTTAAATAATGAATAGAAAATTATTTAATTTAACATGAAATTTAAATTTAAATACACAATATTATCATGTATCTAAATAATGCATTTTCAAATACATGTAATTCATATTCATTTTTTTATTTAATCCAAACAATATATTTTAAAATACATGCATTTAAAATATATATTGTTTAAATACATGTATTTAAAATACATACTTTAAATATAGATACGTGTTCCCAAATACAATCTTAAAAAACCTAGGAATAGGCAAGTTTTAATGTTAATAGTTTTTTTTACTAAATTTATGTGATGAATGTGTCCCTTCTATATTACAAAAAATAAGTATTCCTTAATTATTTCATAATATAATTAAAAAAATTAGATATTAAAATTTAACTATTCCTAATTTAAAAGCTTTTTAATTTTAATTTATTTTTGTAATTTGATCAAGAAATAGTCATTTGTGACCAAACCAAACATACCTATAATAATTTGAGAATGGATTCTTA